CCCACACCCTCACGCACACATCCACACACACACACCCATATATCTATGATCAGATTCGTTTCAGGACCGCCACATAGATGTTTCTCCTTTATATACGAAAAAAAATGATGCGTTCGATGAAAAATAGGTCTGTATAGAAGCCGAGTATGAATAATGACAATGATCGTCACAAATGGAGCGATTTTCAAGTAGTCTGCGCGTCATTATCGGCCACTTTAACTACGACTTTGGTGGGTATCTTGCCGCTGTATCGTTTTTTTGCATCTTCAAAAACGTTATGGATATTTTTAACCATTTTATTCAAATTGTATTCGCACGATCGAGGTGACATTTGCCGTCCTTTGAGAAGACGTTCTGGAAGTTCGATGATCAGATCCTTACTGGGCGATAATGGTTGATTTGTGTTCTTGGATTTGCTCACTGATCGTGAACCCGGTTGTAGTGGTCGATATTTTTTCTGTATGGACTGACCATGCGATTGAGTAAAAGATCGATTGTGTCGTACTCGCTGGTGTTCTTCTTTAAATTCGGTCTTCTTGCCGGTCTTCAAATGTTTGGTTGATTCATTATTCGTTACACTTCTCCGAAATGGATCATTAATGATAGCTACAGTATTGAGTTCGGAATTGACAAGCACGGTTGATTTGACGGATTTAACTCGTGAACCGACCGATATACTTTGATCGACACTTTCAACAGCTGGTTCTCCAGTGGTCGATCGTTTACTCCGCGCTTGTCGTCGGTTTTGCATGTTCGCCGTTTTGGTTTGTATCCGCCCAGCTTGTGGAGAGTGAGTTTCTATATGAACAATATAGAATATATTTGAGAGAGAATTAATCAACATTTCTAATGACCTTCATGTTCCTTTATTACGAGGGAAAGACGGAAAAATTTGCCTATTGAACGCATCACCCTTGGACGACGATTTTTGAGGACTAGTCGAGCGATATGAAGTGGGCGCGATAAGAGTCGTTTGACTACTCCATAGCGTAACAATTCAAATGAAACGCACCGCGAAACGCATCTTTTTTCAAACGTGTTTCGCACCGTTTTCGAAACGAAACACTCTCAAACGTGCCTCATTCAGAAAAAGCGCCTCTCATAAACTGGATTTTCGGAAAGATACGAAGTGCAGCTACTTTTTCTAATGCGTTTCTTGGTGTTTTCGGAAGAAAACATGTTTTTCAGCATTCATTCTTAACATGGTGCGAAATTCATTTATTTTACTACAGCGTTTAACAGCGCTTCAGGTATAACAAGCACTTCAGCAGGAAAAACATGAGTTGCACATCGTTCATACAGGAAATGATGCACAACTCTTATGTGAAACGTATCCGTTTCGTATCATTTCATAAAATAGACACCACAGAACGCGGTTTTTATTCATAAAAACGGAATTAAACGCATTTATTAGTCAAACACGTTTCGCAGCTTTCTAAAGTTCAATTACAGAGAGAATTCTAGTCAAGATAAGAACGCAGTAAAACACGTTTACACGAGATAAAAACGTGTTCTACGGTATTTTCATTTAGAGAGAACTCGTTTTGCAGCGCTAAATCAACGCAGTCCTGAATATCAAAAGTTTGAGAATAGTAAGTCAACTTTTTAGCAGAGTCATGCATATGTTGATGTAGTGGTTCTTCTTAGATATCTCATACAGAAAAAGAAACATTTTCGTGATTAGTGATGAGTTTCAATTGTAGACTCTACTTCCATTACAGTTCACTCAATGTCAAAGGTTATAGTTTGTCTGAAACATGGATATCATACGAGTGCAGCTCGTTCTCTGGCACTATAGTGAAATAAATGGGATCAGCTGCTAGTAGAGGATAGAAGTATATAGTAAGAATGATCATTTTCTTTCATTTCTTAATATACATATATTGTTGAGCGAAAGCAGTGGAAAAAGGAAAAGTTTTTATCGACTGTAGTGCAATGCATACTTTTTTTTAATGTAAATCGATAGTTATACCTAACATCTGAATCAGAGTGAAATGAAGAGTCGTATCTTTCGATTGCTTTAGTTAAGTGGTTTATCTGCATGACATCTAATCTGCGGCGCTCTTGTTCGAATCTTTCTCTCAGCTTTGTTGAAACTTTCTTTCCACTTATGTAAGTGTAGCATAACAATCATATGATTCAATGCAAGAATGGATGGATCGTTTCGTCAGATTAAGTTCTGACAAAAGACTCATCGTTTTTTAATTTTCTGCAAGTTCTCGTAAAGTCCGATCTGTGGCTGCTTAAGAAACGATGCAAAACGCGTTAATGCTGATCGGTTTAACACGTTTCGCTGCTTCTTAATAAAATGGTGCGAAACGCATAAAACCGGCCAGCATTAACGCGTTCTTTTTTAGCAAAAATTTAAGCCATAGATGAAAACAAGAGCTTTCAAATGATAAAATGAACCGAATGAATGTCTATCAGTAGAAGGAAGCTGCTTACTCTGTGAAAAATCTTTAGTAGGTGAATCTGGAGGAGTGGAAGTGCGCGATGCAGGAGCGTATGGATACGGAGGAGATGACATGTTGGATGCAGGAGAGTTTGGATCTGGAGAAGATGTTTGTATGTATTCGAGAGGTGCAGATGAATCTTTCACCAGTGAGTCTTGTACCGATGAATAATAAATTGTTGGATTTTTCTCATCTTTCGGTGGAATCTGTCGTCGAATGACATAGACAGATGTTCGCTAAAACACTCTCTAAATCATTGGAACAAATAAATAAATACGTTCAAAATCTCACCCCATCAGTAATTCTCGGTCGAAATTCCAATGGTTTTTCTTGGTTACATACACTCGTGTCAATCGATTTTCCGTACTCGACCTGTGGATTTGGCGTATTCCGTACGACAACAATGCGACGCATCGTGGATGCCTCTTTGTGCGGCATCATCCCATCAATTGATCGGTTGAATGAAGATGGTGTCACGGCTGATAATTGTTTTGCAGATGGATCGGGCTCGGGTTCGTACGCTGGGTTAGAATACTCTTCTGGTTGTCTAGTAGATTTACGAAAGGTAAAACGTTCGGCATCGTCATAATATGTTGAAGCCATTCAATTTGATCAACAGACAAGCTTTCACTTGTGTTTGTTGTCGCTCACTTAAGCATCACCATGCTTCCATGTTTGTTTTTTGTAATGTCCCTCTTTTTTGTTTTTTACTCATAACGTTGGTGGCACAACTCGCACTTCAATCCAGAATGGCGTACACACACATGCATCACACTCACATCACTTCGTCGTTTCTGTTCATGAAAAAGTGAAAAAAGAAGCAGCTGTTTTGTTTGATTCCATCGCATGCATAAATTGCTTAATAGTAATTCGATTGAAACATTGCGACGAAAGTTCAACCACTTAGTTTTAGCGATTGGTTCCCGTTTCGAGCAATAATTCCTTCGCATAATTATTCTCAGATAAACCAAAGCATGTCGATCTCTTCAAAACAAACCAAGCCAAGAGTGTGGGTATTGGTGTGTGGGTGTGTGGGTGTGGATAGAGGCGTTAGCCGCCGATTTTTCGCCGCTACCGCTGTCGATCGAATTAAAGGCCACAGTTCAAGTTTTCTCCTGTTCTAAATTATCACTTGTTGATAATAATCAGTAATATTTCAAGTTTGATCTGTGTGACAATTAGATATTGCTGAAATCAACAGAACTTTTAAAAAATAGGTAATAGTGTATTTTTTCTTGGATGACTTATAGTCTGAAAGTCTAGCTGATAAGCAAATATGTCTCCTTGTGATTTTGTAATGCTATCACACTTATTAGGTTCTTACTTGCTTTGGTACTTCATGCACAATAGATTCATCGCTATTAGTTTCTTCGTTTCGTCATGTTTCGCTTATTCAATATGCAATTTTAACCAACTATCTAACTCAAGTTCGAGTATAAATGAAACTAACATTGCGATTCGAATTCGACTTCCAATCGACATCTCTGTCAGCATAGAAAAAGAATATTTAGTTTGAATTCGAATTCAAATAATCAATGGAAATAAGTCTTGCTTCTGTTCCCAACACACAGGAAAGTATCGACTTAAATTTGAATTCAAACTCTAATTTCAAGGTTTGTTTCACCTATGATCTAATTGGAGCTATCATTTGAAAATTTAATCTGTATTTGAACTTGAAATAGATGGATAGTCACACTATTGCCGTTTTGGCTTGTATCATGTGTTGTTGTTGTTTGGTTTGAAGATATTTTATGATGGGGCAGTGTGAGTGTTTGGAATTAATAAAAATAAAGTCATATATAGTAGAAAAAATTTGACATAAAAAAACATCAGCATGCTAAGAGGAAAACAACATTATAATTTTGTGAAAAGAGAACGTCTAATGTTTGCTTTAACAGTAGGGACCCATGCAAGACCCTGTGAAACAATATATAATAAATTTTGTCATCACCGCTGCCGCCGCCGAAAATCGTCTCCTCGGCGAGAACTCCTCGCCACCGCCGCCGATCAAATGATCGGCTAACACCTCTAGGTGTGGGAGGTGGGCGATTGGGTATGGGTGTGTGAGTGTCTGTGTGGGGTGTGGGCGGGTGTAGGTGTGTGATATGGGGTATGGGTGTGAGCATGTGGGTGCGCGGTGTGGGTGTGAGTGGAGTGCGGTTGTGGGTGAGTGTGAGTGTGGGTATGTGACTGTGGCTGTGAGTTTTCAGTTTATCCACACCTATGCCCACACCCACACACCCCACTCACAGCCGCAGCCACAGCCACACTCCAACACTCACATGCACAACCTACCCATACACCCGCATCCACACCCACACCGATACCCCACATCCACACCCTCAAATTCGCTTTCTTTCTACAGAAAACAACTAACGTCTGCGATGCTCAATAACTATTGT